GAAAAGGGTGTGGGCTTCCATGTTAGACCACTCTAGCTTCTCGCCCCAGTTCTGCTATCTATAGCTCTACAGTTGGCCCTCTGTATCCAGGGTTCCCACATCTTAGGAGTCAATCAGCTGCAGATGGAAGATATTTGGGGGCGGGGAAATTGTATTGGTACTGAGTACATGTGGACTTTTTCCCTTGTCATTATTTCCTAAATAATACAATAACTATTTACACAGCATTTACATTAGCGTTTACATTAAGTATGAAGTACTCTTAAGTTATCTACAGATGATTTCAAGTTTATACAACAATGAGTGTAGGTTACACATGCAAAGACGATGCTATTTTACAGTATGGACTTGAGTGTCCAATTATTTTGGTATCCTTGGGGGATCCTGAAATAAAGCCCCGTGGGTATTAAGGGATAGCTATGTGAACCTGGGCACATTTCTTGACTTCTCTAAGCCTCAATTTCCTCACTGGGTACTTGGGGATAATAACATTGACCTCAAAGGATGGTTGTTGGATTAGAAGAGATAATATCCATCCAGCACTTCACACTGAACAATGGGAGCTCAGCAGATGGCAACTGTTGCTGTAGTGGTGGTGGTGGTGGTGGTTATTTTTACTGTTAATCCCACCTGTAAAGAGTCTAGTTGGGAGGGTGTTTTCCTCTGATGCCTTTTTTGGAATCTCAGGAAGGATATGATGGGATGTTCTCATTCCACTTCGCACAGAGCCATCCTGGCTGTTAGCGGGATTGGACTGGTCATTGAGTCCAATTTCTTTACCAATACTAAGCGGTAAAAGATGATCAAAGTCTCCTGAACTGCATTACAGACATCCTAAGCGGCCAGCAGCAACTCTTTCCATGATATAAACGCCATCCGGCTGCCCCAGTGCATCAAAACCACCAGCTTCCAATTATCCCCTGGCAGAGCTCAAAGCGCTTCCTTTTTGGAAGTTGAAAAGTAATCGTAGTTATCATTCTAAATTGCTACCTTTTCTATTGATTTCCACATTATCATAGCACAAGGAAGCTCCTTGAGAACTTGGATCGAGAATCACTTTTACTGTGTATGGTTAAGTATTTTCTGCTTTCATGGACACAGAGACTTCATGGGTTGTTGGCAAAGAAGGAAATCCTAACCACCTTCCATGTTGTTTGCGTTTAACGGTTCATCTCTCTGCGGTGTTATGTCTCAGTCCTTTTCCATTTGAGGTAGTTCAATTTTGAAAATATAGAATGCTAATGATTTTGCCCTTTGTGGCATAACTTTTAATCCCCTATTATAGCAAGCAGAAGCATCTGATTGTTCATATGTACCTCTATACATTTTGGGATGGTTTTATTTTATTAAGTCGAGGTGTAATGGTGATGGGGTATGGGGTTTTCTCACTTGTCTCTGGTTGGAAGACTTGTCCTGCTGGTCCAAGCTTTTCTCTCTGACACCCAGATCTCATTCTGGATTCCCAGAATTTGGCATCCATCCAGAGGAGCCCAGTTATTCTTGAGAAGTATCTTCATATAGAAGCAAAGCTTCTCTGGGACTCTGAGTTGGGGCACCAAGGGCATGAAAGAATTGAACAGAGTAAAAGGAGGAGCTGTGTTCTCAGAAATGTTAGGAAATGTGGGAGATGTATATACATAGTGGGCCCAAGGAAAGGGGAGGAGTAATTTGATAATAAGGCTAGCATTTGTTGAAAAATTTGATGTGCTGGTCACAATACCAGGCCCTCTGAATAGTACCACCTAAGAAAAATATTGAGTGCTCATGAGGCAGGAAAACCATGCTAAGTATTTTACAGGAATTAGCATTTCATCTTCAGAAGAGTCTGAGGCTTTGAGCTGCAGTCATTAAGATCAGTCAGTTGGTAAGCATCATCCTACTTTGAGCTGAGGAGACCAGGAAGGATGAATCAATGAGATTGAAGTTGGTGATAATCAACATAGAATGGATATAGGTAAGCTTTTTCAGAGGACAGCCACCTAAGAGGTACATATAAACATGGTATAAAAAAAATTACAGTGTTTTCTAAACCTCACTGAGGAAATTCCCTCTCCCTGCAAAAAGGCAGGTACCAACTTAATGTGCAATTAGTAGAATACCATAATCTTGGAAACTGAATATGACTGTCATGAAAAGTATTTTGAGATGACAGATTTGTAAAGCCTAGTGAGAATTTTTCTAAGTCTTTCTGAGAAAAAAAAAAGGGTGCATAGATTCAGAACGATGGGAATGTGGCCAGTGGTGGCCTCAGAGTTGCTGGAATGCAGTGCTTCTTGAATGTACCCACCAAAATTCCCTGATGGAAGACTTAAACTTGTGTTCCTGAGATCTGGGCATTGCTCCAAGGTCTATTTTATCCTAAAAATTACATAAAGAAGAGGCACAAATTGCCAACAGAGATGCTCAACATCATTAGCCCTTAGGGAAATGCAAATCAAAACTATAGCTAGACACCACCTCAAGCTCATCAGAAGGGCAACTATAAAAAGACCAGCAAATAACAACTATTGGTGAGGATGTACAGAAATTGGAATTCTTGTGCACTCTTGGTAGAAATGTAATGGTATAGCCACCATGGAAAACAATATGGCAGTCCCTCAAAAAATTGAGAACAGTTTCCATATGACCCAGAATTTATACTCCTGAGTATACACCCAAAAGAACATGTAGCAAGGACATAAGATACCTGCACTAGGTTCATAGCAGCACTAATTACAATGGCCAAAAGGTAGAAGCAAAAGCAACCCAAGTGCTCATTGGCAGATGAATGGATAAACAAAATGTAGTGTATACATACAGCAGAACATTATTATTAGGGCTTGAAAAGGAGGAAATTCTGGTGTATGCTTATAAGGACGAAACCTTAGGACATTATGCTAAGTGAAACATACCAGTCATAAAAATGACAAATACTAAATGATTCTACTTATAGGAAATATTTAGAGTAGTTGCATTCATAGTAACAAGTAGAATGGTGGTTGCCAGAACTGTGGGAAAGGAGATTAGGGGAGTTATTTTTTAATGAATACAGAGTATGCGTTTTACAAGATGAATTGAGTTCTGGAGATTGGTGGCCCAACAATGTGAAGGTACTTAGCACTACTGACTGTACTAAAAGTTGTTAAAATAATGTTATGTTACATCTACTTTACCACAATCAAAATAAAAATCATATTTGTATATTATATTATAATCATATTTATATACAATTATATATATTAATTATATTAAGAAAATTTCTCTACATTCTACCCATATCTCAAAGAACGATGTAAAAAAGAAGCCTGTGTTTCCCTTATTTCCTTTATGATATATACCCTGGATTTGCATATCATGAACTAGGAAGATGACTATCAGGACAACGAGTTCTCCTTCTGATCATGTCTTATTTTCCCCAAGCTGGTGTTTACCTCATGTAGACCAGCGAGCCTGAGAGGCCTGGGCCACCCCATTTCCTGCCTCTCGCTGCAGGTGGGTAAGTTAACAGTTTTAAGAATGAAGCAGCTGAGAACTTAATCAGCCCAGATCAGACTCCTGGGATGTGATCCTCCTGGAGTGAAGGGACAAGACAGAAATGCTCAACCTGCCAACCTAAGGACAAAGCCTCGTGTTGACCATGACTCCAAGCACTGCCACCTCTCCCCAGGGGGTCCAATTTGAAACAAACTTGGGGCTCTCCCGTTAACACACTGGGGAGAGGGGGGGGGAAGAGAGTCAGGTGACAGAGAAGGGTGCCAAGCAGGAGACAGGACTCAAAATGCCAGCAAAGAGAGACTGAGAGACAAAGAGCAGCATCCCGGGGAGACATCTCAGTGGCCTTCAAGGGGGAACATGGAGCAAACGAGAGCAGTAAGGAAACTCACCCTAGGGTGCAGGCTTATGAGGACAGCAATTTATTAAGTGCCAGAGAAATGCAGATGTTGAGGTCGGCACAAACCCACGGGTGCCTTAAGTAGACTACTACAAATGAAATAAATAATGTGGATGGAGAGGTGATGTAACATGCCGGTTAAGAACACGAGTTCTGGTGCCACACTGCTGGGCCCTGGGTCCCAGCTCCACCCATTCCTGGCTCTGTGCCTTGAACAAACTGTGTATCCTTAGATTCCTCACCTGTAAAACAGGCATAAAACTAGTATCTGTCTCAGAGGCTTGTTGTTAGGACACAATGAGTAACTAACACACAAGGAACACTGAGATCAGTACCCAATACCAGTAAAGCCATGGCACACGTACACGTCACAGTAACAATTTACTAAGCTCTATTTAGGAGCAACTCCCGGGATGAGGCATGGAACCTATATATGCACAAAGCATTGTCTTAGCATGATCTATGGCTTATCCAACTACAGGTATGGTGATAAATGAAATTCAAACTAATTCAGATTGTTATCCTAAATCATGGGAGCAATTGCTACTAAATGAAATAATTATGAATAATACTTCTGCAGGGTTACTGTGAAGTGGACATTCTTCTGGTACCTCACAAATATCAACTCATTTAACTTTCATGAGAACTCTAGGAAGTAGGTTAAGTTTCATATTCGTTTTTTTTTTTTTTCCCCCACTGCTAGAGAATGTAAGTATCTTGCCCAAGTCCGGAGGCCAGCAGGTGGTAAAGCTGGGATTCAAAGTCAAGCCACCTGGCCGAAGCCCAGACTTTGGGCTACCAGCCTGCACAACCCCTTCACATGCAGCTCTGTGATGCCTTCTGACATTTAAATTGGGTTTCACAGTTGAAAGTGTAGGAAGATCCCAGCGAGTGAAGAATGAGGTCAGGCCTTCCCAGGAGGGACAGTAGAAAAGAAGATCCATTCTTAAACGTGTTATGGTTGGACATAAGGGATTCTCAACAGGAATAAAAAGGCTTGGCTTTGGACCATAGGTGAAGAATACAATGGGGATGGAGAAAAATCTTTGTTTCTAAATCCCAAGGTGGCTTATCACTAGAAGTCCTTGGAACCCACAGATGATGGCAGGCAGGGGGACGTCTGACTTACCGGCCGGGGCAGACTGTACTGGTACATTTCTGGGCGGTAGGTGGGCACCCACTGCACCCCGGCCCTGGGCCGAGTCATGGTCCCTGGTGCACTGGTCACCACCTCCGAGTAGGGCAGGTGCTGGGCAGAGCCATAGGCCTCCTGGTGTCGGCTCTGGCCTGCGTGGCCCGCGGACGCCAGGCTGAAGGCCTCCTCCAGGAGCATGTGCATCTGTTGCCTGACCTCATCGATGGAGGGCTGGGAGCTCAGCGTGGAGGTCTCCGAGTGGCCTTTCACCTGCCTCGACCTGGCGTAGCCCCGCGGCTCGTGAACTCTGTCAACGTTGGTTTCCTCTATGATTTCAGGTTCAGTCTGTGGGACCAAACAAAAAGCTCATTAATTCCTCGGTGAAGCTCTCTCCCAAGAAGGTGGCCTGTAAGATTTACTCTAGAATCTTCACTCGGATTGGCAATATTTGAATCAGTGCTAATTTAACTCATATCCTAGGTGCCTTCCCCAGGAATTCACATGAGAGGGGCTGTCAGCACGCATGATGTGAGAAGGGCCACCCTCCAGCTGTCAAGGTACATGGGGGCTTTCCAACCAGAGACCCAAGTGCCGCAGGCTTGGCTAATGAGCATAACCATTAGAAACGGCTTTCATTGATGAAATTAGTCCTGTCGTCTAAAATCTTTTATACCTTTGGGTATAAGAATCTGGAGCATCCTGTCATCAACACCCCAAGGGATGGCACTTTTAGACAAACTCTTTAAATGGTCCTGCGTCTAGCCAATTGGTTAGGGAATTTCTGGATGCCCGATGCTAGCTATCGGAGAATAACAAAACGCTACTTTGAGATTGCTGGATAAATCAGAAACTCTGAGGTGGGGCTCCGCAATCTGGGTTTTAATAAGCACTCCAGGGGATTCTGATGTCTGCTCCAGTTTGAGATTCAGTGATCTAGAACGTTCTCCTGCCTTCCCCCATGGGTCCTTTCATTCGGGGAACAACTGCAGAGCCTAGGTGGGCAGAGAGCTGGGACTTTGTCGACTCCCAGAGCATGCTCTGTGGACTGGCAACTTCTGCTGGCCTGCTGATGGATGCTGGTCTCCTAAGTGTCTGCCCTTTGTTCTGAGACTTCCCTGCCTCTGTTAGCTGGGATGCCTGTGGGTCCACCAGAGTGACCCTGCACAAACCTCAGAATGCAAGAATGCAAAAAGCCAGAGAGAAGGGCGTGGTCAGGCAACACCGTCCTCTGCTTTGCAGTGCGTGCCATAGCAGGAGCCAGATCTCCGAGGGGCACTGAGAAGCTAGAAGACTGGGCATTAAAGATGATGCAGCCAGGAAAGTTGCTTTAGGTTTTTGGTGTTTCGGCTTTGTTTTTGTCTTTTTTTTTTTTTAGTACTGAGGATTGAACCCAGGGCCTCACACATGTTAGGCAAATGAACTACCACAGCTGGGCGTGGTGGCGCATGCCTGTAATCCAGCGGCTCAGGAGGCTGAGACAAGAGGATCACTAGTTCAAAGCCAGCCTCAGCAAAAAGTGAGGTGCTAAACTTGACCTGAAATTAAAAATTCTGTCCAATTTCCCAGGGCTTGAGTTTGAGGTTAAGATTGAAAGTTCACCTTCTCTAACCCATTTCGTGAATGCTAATGAGCTGCATGACCCTAAGTAGGGTCTCAGTGAGACCTGTCTCTAAATAAAATACAAAAAATAGGACTGGGGATGTGGCTCAGTGGTTGAGTGCCCCTGAGTTCAATCCCTGGGACCCCCTGACCGCCCCCAAAAGAAAAGCACTACCACAGAGCCACATTCCAGCCTGGTGTTTCAGTTTTTTTGAAAAATGAGGATAATACTGCCTCTAAGGGTTTTATAAAGATAAAATAAATGTGCATGTAAAGATTTATAACAGTAGCACAGGATAAAGACACAATAATGGTAGTCACTGTCATTATCATCATCATTATTACTTTTACTCATTCAAATGCAGATATTCTTATGTAATTACTGTGTGTAAAAGAATTGGATGTATAAAATGAGCACATCAAGAAAATGCCATTAGGAAAATCATTCCTATTCTTCCGCCCTTAAATATTACACATTAAGGTCAAACTGTGAAATATTTCATTTTTAAAAGTGTAGCGTTCAATTAATACACGCTCATTAGAGAAGATACTGAAAATACAGAAAACACATAAAAGAAATTCGACGTTTCCTGTAATCTGATCACCCAGAGTTAGGACTTGTCTATAGCTCAAGATCAAAAGTAAGTTTCTCTATCAACTTTCTAGATTTATTAACAAGCATCTACTATAAGAAATCTAAAGTACTGCTTTTATATTGGATTAGGGAGTCAAATATAAAATTACCCTTGAAATAACAAGAATTCAAAGACATGTCACGATAGGTGCATGTCCCCAGGCCCTGGGCTGGAGGACACATTGGGCTCTTGTGCTGTTACTTCTGCTGTTAGGGGATCTGCAGGGAAAGGCTTGTGATTGCTATCTAAGAAGTGTGGTCTCTGAAGTCCAGCAAACCTTTATCTCCTCCTTAAAGGAGATGTAACTAGATACTATTCTAAGAGTTTGATTCTTTCCATCCTTATAATAACCTATGAGATAATATTAACAAGCATGCTCATTCCCACCTTTTTTTGCCTGGTGGTACCTTCTAGGATAAAGAATTCTGTAACTTGCAAAGAAAGTTTCTTCATAAGGCACAGAATATTCTGAACTGAATTTCAGAGCCTGAAGAGACGGAGGGGTTATATGAGCAAGGTGGGTGGGAAGAGGCCCCTGAGGAGACTATTCTCCAGGTTTCCACTGCCATCCACCCCATGATACCTCCACAGAAATTAACCTCTCTTTTCCCACAGGGTTTTCATTTTGCATTTGGGTGGGGGCGTTAACTGGAAGGTCCAGAGTCACAACCCAAGTATGATCGCATTTGGTTTTCTCAATCCACATTCTAAAGAACTCCTATTCTCCTTCTGTTCTCCGTCCATATTTCAGCCTCTCAGTATCTACAGACAGAAACACGACTAGCTCTCACTATACCCTGGCTTCCTCTCATCACACTTAGATTCATTTAATATCTGTCTTGTGCCAAACTAGACACTCCCTGAGCCCACTGCACCAGTTTCTTGGGAGCCTAGCAGGAAGAACTTGGCATTCAACAAAGCTTTGTGAACTTGACCTGAAATTAAAAATTCTGTCCAATTTCCCAGGGCTTGAGCTTGAGGTTAAGATAGAAAGTTCACCTTCTCTAACACATTTCTTGAATGCTAATGAGTTGCATGATCCTAAGCATGAACAGACCTAAGCCTCAGACTCCTCATCTGTGTCATGGGAAGGCTGAACTATGATCTGATATTTGCCACCTTGTGGGCTCTGTCTGCTCTGGAAGGTGCTACACTACTCCAATTGACATTCTTTAAAAAAAAAAAAAAACACAAAAAAACCCATGATGTCTACTTGTGAAGGGAAACCCCCTTCACCCTCCCTGCCTGCAACACACAAGGGGTATACGTTTTCTCTTTTACTTAATAGACAAGTGGTGGTTTCTGCTCTATGCTAAGTCCTGAGTTGGGGTAGTAAATACTGTAAGTAAGAATATCATGACCCAGCTCTCAGGGAGCTCCCTAAAGGAGGAGATAAATACAACAATGATGATGCCAGTTGACCTTTCTTAATAGCTTATATAACTAGATACTATTCTAAGAGTTTGGTTCTTTCCATCCTTATAATAACCTGTGAGGTAATATTAACAAGCACGATCATTCCCACCTTTCAGATAAGGAAACTGAGGCATTGAAAGATCAAATATGTTGCCCATTGTTGACAGAGCCGGCAAAAAGTTTGATTCCAGCGCCCAAGCTCTTACCCACTGTACAAATCAAAGCAGGTCCATGACTGTACCACATTGCGGGCTCTGGATGAAGGACAGACAGACTTCTGTGACCAGGGGGATAGAAGATAATAATTATTGAGATAGTCTACCTCAGAGATGACTGTAAGGATGGAAATCATGAATATGTAAATATGAGTAAATGCTATGTGCCAAATACAGACGCAGAGCTGGCACACAGCATTTATTAAATGTCGCCTATAATTGTTGTTATCTGCCTCTTTGCATAGACTGGGGGCTCCTTTATGGTTGGGCCAGTGTATTGTTAATCGTTGTATTTATAGACCTGATGTCCAGGGCCTGATGTGCAGTCATTGGCTGCACAGTGAAAGAAATTCATGTAGCAGGTGCTCACATCTATTTGAGGACCTGTGATGTGCCAGCCCACATGTGGGTGGGGGAGGGGTTTCCATGGGTGTCCCCTTACTCGGGGTCGTACAGCAGATGAGCCCATTTTCAGATAAGGAAAACCGTGCCTATAGACATAACTTGTTCTGAGCCCTTTTTTCCCACTTGCACATTTCTGAATATGCCTTTTTCTTGGGGACACAAGAGCAAACCCCCCAGTGTTGGCTAATGGTTGGCTTGGGTGCAATGTTTGGGGCCATACATAGGAGAGAGAATACATTTTTAAATCTCTTTACCTTGGAAGGTACCATACTTGCCTCTCCAACCTCATGTTCTTGAAAAGTGCCAGGGGATTATTTTTTAAAGCTTGTTTATAAATTAATCAAGATATACTTCAATAAAAATTTTTAAAAATTAATCAAGGGAATGTCTGTATATGAAAAAATTAGAAAACATAGATAAACAAAATGAAGAAAATTAAAATCCACTCTAATCCAACCTCCAGAAATAACTGCTGTTAATATTTTGACCTTCCTGCATGTCCCTCCAGATGCTTCTGATGCCTAAGACATAGGATGAAGGTTCGGAGTGCTGTACAGTGCCACTCCCTGTCCCCTGCCCCAACTTGTAGCTCCCACCCAGGCCACAACAGAGAACAATGGCTTGGCCCCTGTCAACCTCTCTTCTTCCAAGGGAGGGCCACCCTTTGCCACATAGATTCTCTGGGCTTTGTGATGGAGAATAGGGAGTGGGGGTGTGATACTTCAGACAGAAAGGGTGTGGGTTGCAGGACTTTGGGGGGCAATTTCCAGAGAGGTTCAGAAGCAGTTAGGTGGCACATGCATGGGAGAGAAAATAAGGGAATTAAATGTATTACCAAGCATGATGTATTTGCATTCACATATATGAAAACCATGAGTAAAGCAATAGAGATGTTTTAAAATTGCTTTTAGTCATAGTTCTTTGGGTCATCATTTCCCTTTCTCTTCCTTTATTATTTACTTATTTTTTATTTTGGTACCAGGGATTGAATCCAAGGGTGCTCAACTCCTGAGCCACATCCCCAGCCCTTTTTTGTTTTTTGTTTTGAGACAGGCTCTTGCTGAGTTGCTTAGGG